GGGTTTCCAGAAGACTAAGGACGAAATAAAGGTATTTTTCTATGCCTCTCTGCCTCACAACAGGATTCACGATAAGCAGCCATAAACACACAGAAACTGAAGAGTTGTGGTTATATAAGCTTCAGCCTCTTGTTTTCATCCTTTCTGAATTAGCTAATCTACAAACCCACAGTAGAGTTTATATAGCTCATTTGTGGTTTCCTGGTATGCTTGCCAACTTTTCTATGGAATGAATCTTTTAAAAGAATACAAGCTTTATTGAAGGATTTGCTCGGTTGGACAAAACAATCACCAGACTTCCAACCAGGTTGATTATTCTCCAACTCCTTAAGGATATTCTGCTTTCGTCCTTTTCCTTGGTACTTTTCCTTTCTTTTAAAACCACAGCTTCTTTAGAGGAATTAGCATCCAATGAACTTCCTGGGTTTCCTGACTCTACTCCATAATGACTGGACTTAATTCCTTAAAGAGGAATAATCCTCTACCTTCTACACTACTAAAAAATTCTGAATGCCCACTTTATCCTGTGGGCCCACATACCTGAAAATGGAATCTGGAATCTTTCCATCTAGCAAGTAGTACTACCCAATTAAAACCTCATCTATATATTAGATTGTTCCTGGATTATTTGGTTTATCACCTTTCTCAAATATGCTTAGGATGTTTAAGATGTACATTCACTACTTTCATTCTTTCTTTTTTTTTTGAGATAGGGTCTCACTGTGTTGCTCAGGCTGATTTTAAATTCCTGGCCTCAAGCCATAATCCTACCTTGGCCCCTCAAAGTGCTGGGATTACAGGCATGAGCCACTGTGCCTAGCCTTTCTTTACTTTCTTATCATCTCACATTAAATACTGTGACAGACTTCCAGCCTATTGACTGTCTCTAACCCTTCTGATACAAAGAATAAAAGTTACCTTCGTGGGTTTTTTTCTGCCTATGTAACCTTAAAATTTTGTAATGGACTCTCTGCTTGTGTTCTTCCATTAAACTCATCTCATAAGTAAATAAAGCAGTTTTGCATTCAGCAGTGTATCAGGTACCTTCATCTAGTTCTTCTTAGGCCTATTACATAGTTTTTTGTTTTGTTTTGCTTTCTGGCAACTCACATAGCTTGTTTCTATTCTTTAGATCCTAGTTGGGGTTTTAGTGGGGATAATCAACGGTGGATAATAATTTTCCACACTTTGCTGAGAATGTGGAATCAAAACTTGATTTTGAAATAGTCTATAAAACACACAAAGATAATAAATGGGTTCTGAATTTTTTCTCACAGGCACAGTATCCGTTCTCTATTTGATTTTCCTAGTCACCTTGAAGGCTGTTCGCTTGGGATTTCATTTGGAATTTCACTGGTTTATACCAACAGAATTTTTTGTACCAGGTGAGCGTTTTGGCAAAATAAAGAATTAATAAATTATAGTAATGTGGTCCTTAAGTTAATTATTGTTATATGCTTTTCTAAGACAAATAATGGTGTTTTTATGGTGAACATTTTTATTAATGCTATATAGCTAAATACAGGACTACAACTGAGATGACTTTAGGTTTCTTGCAGTTTATTGTTAACTAGGGCCCTTTGTTATTTCTGCTTGGAAGTTGAAGTGCATTTGAGTTACAATGCGATTGAAAAATCAAGAACTGATTCGTCAGACTTTTCTGAGCAGCATACCCCTAGAATTTGAGAGACTTAGAACAAGGTCAGTAATATATATAGATAACAGTGCTCATTAAAATCATTTTTCCCCTGATGGGTTTTTCTTTTTTTGAAGCATTAATGTTTTTCAGGCTAATTAAAATGGTGATTATTAAATGCTCTTATTCTCCTTCCCCTTTTTTTCTCATGGTTATAACTTCGCAATTTTTTCAGTGTCACCCAAATTTAGAATAGTTTGGGCATGATAAAAGTACCATGAAACAATGAATGAATAATGCTAAATGGAGAGACCATTAGAAAATGGAAGTGACTACTAGTATCTTGAAAACTAATAATAAGAAAATTGTACAAAATGCTGTTGTTGATTTAGAAAGATTGCTTTCTTTCCACTCTTCAATGTTGATTCAGGCAGTCTAGAATTCTATTCAGTAATACCAGTATCTGGTGTTACTTTTTTTTTTTTTGAGATACAGTCTCATTCTGTTGCCCGGGCTAGAGTGCAGTGGCGTCATCATAGCTCACTGCAACCTCAAACTCCTGGGCTCAAGTGATCCTCCTGCCTTAGCCTCCTGAGTACAGGCATGTGCCACCATGCCCAGCTAATTTTTTCTATTTTTTAGTAGAGACAGGGATCTCACTCTTGTTCAGGCTGGTCTCAAACTCCTGACCTCAAGCAATCCTCCTGCCTCGGCCTCCGAGAGTGCTAGGATTACAGGCATGAGCTACCGTGCCCAGTTTGGTATTACTTTTTGAAATCTATAATTGTAGTTATCTACTACCCCTTTTGTTTCTTTTGTTGCAACATTCCTGGGTTTTCCAGGTGCATGGAATTGGTAGTTATTGGAAGCTGCTGTTTATATTACCATGGCTACTTGTTTTCAGAACATGTTTTGACTACTTAGCTTTGATTTAACATTTCTATTAGAAGCCCACAAAGACTTAAAAGTCAGTGTAAATTCAGAATAAAGAAGTACTGGAGATTGAAAGGCATTTTTCTTTTCTCCCAAGACTGTATTTAAAATTGGACACTGATGAAAAGGCAACTTTAAGCTAGTTCTTTCATTGATTGATAAAAATAGTCAGGATATTATTTTCTAAAATTAGGGCCACTGTGATTTACATAGATAGTCTTAATAATAAAGATTGTGCTAATGCTGGGACACTAGTGATAGATATAAGGCAAAGGGAGAGGGGAGTTATTTAGAAGACAGAAAATGAAAAAATATTTAAATAGAAATTAAGTTATTTATTTCACTTTGCTTCATTTCTAAATGTTATGCAAATTATCATATGTGCCTTAAAAATATGTGCATCTAATATGTATCTCTGTCACCAGAAAAGATAATTTTCTACCCATATGTGCTTTGAATAGTTTCATTGTTCACTTTCCATTAGGAGCAGACTATGTTTTACCATTCATTGATCCTTAATAGAGTCTTCAAATACAATGGAATTCCTCCCTACTTCTTTTTTTTAGAGACAGGGTCTCTGTTGCCCAGGCTAGAGTGCAGTGGCATGATCGTAGCTCATGGCAACCTCAAATTCCTGGGCTCAAGCGATTCTCCTGGCTCAGCCTCCCCGAGTACCTGGGACTACAGGCCTGTGCCACCACACCCAGCTAATTTTTTTATTTGTTGTAGAGACAGGGTCTTGCTATGTTACCCAGGCTGTTTTTGATTTCCTGGCCTCATGCAGTCCTCCCTCCTTGGCCTCCCAAAGTGCTGGGATTACAGGTGTGAGCCACCACATTCAGCCCGTATTTTTTACATGTATACCTAGTTCCCCCATTTTTTTCTTTTTTGCTTTTGAACTTCTTATTCAAGTAGAAAACTTACATGCAAAAGTTTACAACTCCTAAATGTATAGCTTGATTAATTTTTACTATCTGAACATACCATATAGCTAGCACCCAGATCAAAAGAGAAATCACTAGCACTCCAGAAGTACCTCTCATGATCCCTACCAGTTGCTGTCTCCCTGCAAGGGTAACCACTGGTCTAACCTCTAATACCAAAGGTTAGTTTTACCTGCTTTTTGAACATAACATAAATGGAATATACAGTATGTATTCTTTTGGGTCTGGCTTCTTTCAATCAACGTTATATTGTGAGATTGATCCATATTGCTGTATTTATAATTCATTCATTCTCATTGGTATTTCATTGTGTAACTACCACAATTTATCTTTCACTATTAATGAACATTTGAGTAGTCTTCAGTCTTTGACTGTTATGTTTATTGTAGCACTCTTCATGCTTATACAAATCTTTTAGTCAACATATGGCTGCTTTCTGTTGAGTATAAGCCTAGAAGTGGAATTGCTAGGTCAAAGGGTATGCATATGTTCTGCTTTATGGATATTATCAAACAGCTTTCCAAAATGGTTGTTATACCAATTTACATTCCCACCAGCAGTGTTTGAGAGTTCTAGTTGCTCTACATCTTCACCAACACTTGTATTTTCTTTTTCTTCTAACCTTTCTGGTGGGTATGTATTGGTATTACACTGTAAGGTTTTTTTGTTTTTCCTTTTTTAATTCATTTTTTTTTGATATACAATAGTTGTACATATTTTGGGGCTACATGTGATATTTTGATACTTGTGTACAATGTGTAATGATCAAATCAGAGTAATTGGGGTATCCCTCACCTCAAACATTTATCTTTTCTTTGTGTTGGGAAGGTACATTGTGGTTTTCATTTGTGTTTACCTGATGACTAATAGAGTTAGCACCTTTTCATGTGTTCATTGGCCATTTGGATTTCCTCTTTTGTGAAGTACCTCTATAAGTCTCTTGCCCATCTTTCTATTTAGTTGTCTGTTTTTTTCTTAATGATTTATAGTTCTTTATACATTCTGGATACAAACCCTCTCTCAGATATATGTATTACAATTATGTTCTCTCCATCTGCTTACATCTTTTCTCGATATGCCTTTTCAAAGGAATAAAGTAAGCAATTTGAAAATGATCAGAAGTTTGGGGCTTATTTAAAACCACTTTGTGAAGAAATCTGTTCTTTAATTTACTATGCAGTGATCATGGTATAAATGTCTGTATTCTTTAAAAAGGCATATTTTCTACCAAAAAAAAACCCTTATACATGAATGTTCATAGCAGCATTATTCATAACAGCCAAAAAGTGGAAACAATTCAATGTCTGTCACTGATGAGTGGATAAATAAAAGGTGAGATAGCCAGGTGATGGAACATTCTTCAGCAATAGAAAAGGAATAAAGTGCTGTAGTGATGGTTGCACAACTCTGTGACTATACTTAAAACTATTTTATTGTGTACTTTAAATGGATGAAACATATGTGAACTATATCTCAATATTACTATTAAAAAGAATGTCAGAAATACTATTAAAAAGAAATTTACTCAAAAAAACAGG